AGGTGGATTTATGGGTGTATTCAGCAGAGAATTCTAGGGACCTGTGGAATTTGCGTTATCAAAGACTTGCATGCCCAGCACTGGGGAGAGCTGACCAGGAATGGAAAATGTTCCGGCTTTGGTCTCAGAAACCTAAAGTCTCAGTTTAGGCAGTTTTGTTTTAGGTCCTTTTGTTGCTCTAGCCCTGAGTGTGCTCTTCTGCACAAAGGAGTCCGTCTCAACATCCTTGTCACCTGGTGTACCTACTGCTGCCATCTATTGTAATTTCAACATGCATATTGTTGTATTTGGTAGTGCTCTGAAAGCCCTGGGTATAGCTGATAATGTATTAGCTTTAATTTTAAAAAGTAAAGCACCTGCTTATCGTGATTATGGAAAAGGTTTGAAGTAGGCCTGACTGTTAAAGGCTGAGCAGAAGACAAGTAGAACCTCAGAATAACATGAACATGTATGTGCATCAGTCTCATGATTTCTCAGGGATGACTTGTTTTTTCTCTGCCATTTGGGATTAGAAATAATTTGTCCAGGAGAATGGTAGTTTATTTGAATCCATTAAGATGCAAATCACAATATTTCCCATGCTTTCCTTATTTTTTTAATCTGTTCTTACAAAGCAGAAGTACTTTGGTGAACCCCATAGCAGCACTTTTGTTAAAGTGGGATCATGGTTCTCCTCTTTATTCTGGTCGGTTTTTGGTTCCTGTATGCCATATTCTGCACCTGCATTGAAGTAGGCCCATACCCATGCAGTCACCTCTATCACTTTGTAATTTTGCCTTCCATCACATTAGCATTTACTGCTCTCTTTACAGCATTCCCTTCACTAAAAACCCTAGAAAACCTACTAAGGCTAATTACTTGCAAATAGTAATTGTAATTTTAATGGCAACCTCAGTAAATTGCTTTTTATGTACTGTAAGAAAATGGAAAAACAAGTGTCCGTTTTGCTGTTTAATAAGAATCTTATAGAACAAGAAATAATCCTTTCACTCCTTCCATCTAGTGGGAGCACGAATAAGAAGCCACCAATATCCACTGAGAATCCCTTCTTGTGCCCCATGGGGTTAACAGGAGTTGAGGAGACAGCCAAAGGCTCAGTAGGTGCAGAAATGAAACAGAAATGGAAATGCAAGGAAGATGAAAGATTAAGGTGAAGAGACTGTGAAAGAGGGTGAAGCATAAGGAAGATCACACAGGGCAGAGGAAACCCTATCAAAGCTTCAGAAACATCTCTGGATAAAAAACTGGAGCATTTGGCTGGCTTCCTTCTGCTGTCCAATGGAAGCTTGAGTCCAGAGCTGTTGCAGCTGTAACAATGTTGGGCCAGGGTTGGGGGGGCGTTCAGGAGATGACAAATATCAAAGTGTTAACACCTTATACTATAATACAAGGCCTGTTTTTTCATCTGTAAAATTTATCAGAAAAAGGTCTTGCATGCACGTGTTACATGTGCAGTACAAGAGCTGTGAGGCAGTGATCCGTGTAGAGGTAAGTTAGTATCAGTAAACCAATTATTCTTGCCCCAGAGTGTTTGCACATAGTGTACGGCAAACTGCCTGGTAGGAGGATGTTTTTAGGCGACCTAACTCTATGGATGTTGGGCTGCCATGACTGCCTGCACCGCATCACGATAGCGGCCATAGCAGCAAAGCAGCTCGCAGCTGCTGGTGATTTCTGCTGGGAGGCAGCACCCTGGTGTTTGCAGATCTGCTCTGCTGGGCCTTTTGCCGCGGGTGGGAACCAGTGCCTTGCACCCAGGCGTGCGGCATCACTTATCACCTGCCTGGAAGTAACGTACCTCAGGGTCTGCAGTGATTTGGCAGGCGCAGAGAGCTGCATGGTTTGGCAGAGATTTCCAGAATGGGCCCAAGGCAAAGTGGACTTGGGAGAGAGGAAGCTCTGGGTGGGGAAATGGTGGTGGGAAGGAATCGTTACTTGTCCCAGGCTGCTGCTCTGACCACCCTCAATCCATATCCAAGAGCCCCAAGAGAGGGGAGAACTGAAAAAGGATCTCCTTACAGAGACCTTTTCCAAAGGATGCTGGCAGGAAAAGTAGCTCTGGATTAGATCCATTTGCTCTTAACGTAGTCAGTACCTAGTAAGAGCCAAACTCCTGCCTGTCTTAATAATTTAAGCTTTGCAGAACAGAAGCTGGGTGAAATTTTGACCTTATGTATTACTGCTGTGTAAGTAATCCTCAGAAATGCTCTCAGTCTTGTTAACTGTTTGTAGTTACCACAGGACTTAGAAATAATTATGTTGTACTTTTGCAACAAAAATAAAGCATAAAGTGTGTTCTGGGTTGTGAATTTTGCATTAAAACATGATTTAAAAGCTTGGGAGAAGCTGGCATTAATGAGAAGAGTTGGTTTAGACAGTCTAGTTTAATTCAAATGCAGTTGATGCATCTCGTGCTGTATATTAGTCTTGGTTTTAAAAGGTGGAAATAATTTGTATAATGTGATGATAAATATGCCAGAAACAATAGCAAGAGACACATGTATCAAAATAGAAAAGACAAGTGGCAAGTTACAGCCAGGGGTAGTTCTAGATATAAAAACCAAACACCAAAACACCTGGCCTATGTTCAGAGTTGACATGTAGAGGAATGCAAGTCTTCGGTAGATGTAAATTGTATGAAAGATACCAATGAGCATAACTATTGTTTACAAACAATTTTCACCTAATTCAACTTTCATCCAAGGTAACTTTCACTGCTGTTTGTGTGGTCAGTGAATTGGCTTGTGCTCTATTTTTTAAACAGATTGATTAACCTGTCCATTTTGATTTTTGAGGTGTTCGTATTCACAGTGCTTTTCACTTCTGTATCAGCATTTACTGCATTTTACACCCTTAATGGAAAACATGTATATGATATTAGCAAAGAGGTGCTTTATTACATCTTGGGTTTTCTTTTAAAGAATGCTGTATAATATATCATACAGTAAGCTGATGTCTGTTCATACTGAAATGCCCCATTCAGAGCTCTTCCATGGAATCTTGTTTTAAAGAGTGGAATTCAGCAGTTGACTCCCAGCACAAATAACCATGTAATTACTCTGCAATCACATAGTAATTAGCATGTACTATTCATATATTGCATAATTATATGCCCTGCAGATTACATAGTAATTATATTTGTACTAAACATATAATTCTATATACCATATAAAAAAAAAAACTTTGTGAGTTCATGGTTAAGATTATAGTTGTATGCTAATGTAATGCAACATTTTATATAAAATGTTACAATTTTATGAGAGGGTTGTATTTTGGGTATCTCATCTCTTCTGCATCTGGTATTGCTTGAACTGTGTGTGGTAGGCTGCTATTATAAGAAGTCCTTGGCTCTGTTAATTTATAGTCAAATGCTGCATGTTTATAATTTTGTAATTTGTGAAGAGAAGAAGCAAAAAGTTGCAGTTTATTGGGCAAGAAACTGGGATTGGGAAGGACTTGGAGTATGAACGGTAAATGTAGGAAGGTTAAATGTACGAACCCACTGAACGTGGTTACAGCATACCGCTAGAGTGAAAAATCTAATGCTACTTATGCATTGCATTATCTCTGGATATCTAAGATCCATGGGGTAGTAGCAGGTAATATATTTGTATACGGTGAAGTGTGTGCTAGCACCCAAGGATTGTCTCGGGCACAGTCAGTTCAAGGAAATGCAGTACCTTGGTGCCCCATGTTAGCCAAGCTACATCATCTCTTCCTGATGTGGGAAAGGAGAAAAAGTTGATGTTCTGGCCGGGGAATGGGAGGCAGAGTAGTAGGGAAATGGAGAGGAGTGGCACTCAGTTGTAGAAGGGCCTCGGACTGAGTTTTTGGGAAAAGGTGGAAGATCAAGAAAAAAAGCTTCTTTTAAGAGGAACTTAGAGCTTTATAGATCGTTTGAGATGTTTTATCTTTGGTCATCCCCCCTAAGAGGTTGCTGCGGAGTTTTGGATATTTGAAAAATGTTTTGTTCAGCTTGCAAATTCTGTAGCAATGGGAAGTTAATGTATTTTCTTGGATCTGTGATGTTGGCATTCCTAATATTGAAAGCAGCGTTACGATTATTCTTAATTGAATTTTGCATTCTAATGCCAGTTGCCTTCATTTTCAAGCAAAACATATATTGGGTTTTAATGTCTGGATAATGTATTGCAAAATTAAATGTGTAATTATAGCCTTAACTTTTATCTGAGTTTAATTTTTTCTATAACTTCTTGTAGCGTGTGCATGTGTGTGTGTGCGAAAGACATACTCCTTGTTTTAAAATGTTTCTTTCACAGCCACATCAGCTTTTTCAAAGCTTGTAAACTTCATAAAACTTACAGAGTTCAGGTGGCATCTATAGATGTTGTGACAATGTCTTTAACTAAGCATGGAGCTTACAGGCCTTGTGGGTGGCCTTAGCTCACAGTCATGGGTCTGCACCTGCTTTCCTTTCTGTCTGGGTGGGCTGGTTTTATACCTCCAAAACTGTAGTAACAGGCATGTGGCTTTTACATTCTGCAGAGTACACAAATTACATTTAAATGTTGTTAGCTGGTGTGGACACTGAATGTCATTTATACTGTTCAAGGAAAAAATAAAAAATGTCAGAGCTTTACACAACCTGAGTTAGGAGGCCACGTTATCACTGTGTTCTTCTGTGACAGGCCAAACACATCCCTTCCAATTTACCAGCGATTTTAATAGTTTTTTAGTGAGGCCAAGTCTTACCCAATATTCATCCTGCATGTCTGCTACAAAGAAGATAAGGTACAACCTGCCCGGTGTAATCGTCATTTATTTGCCAGCATTCTGATCTTAACGCATGCCTGAGCTCTTGTTCACTCGTTAAACCATTACCCTAGGAAACATAAGGACTGGTGGCAGTTTCTGGCACTGAAAGTTTTGTATGTAACAAATATATAATCAAGATCTCATTAACAGTGAAATAAACACAAACATCAAAACACAATATAAATGTGACGCATTTCTTACTGCTGTTGTGTTGTTTTTTCTAGTGGAGCCAGTACTTTCAAAGGGGAACAATTGCTTGGATGCAGCAAAAGCTTGTAACCTAAATGATACCTGCAAGAGGTTCAGATCTGCTTACATAACCCCCTGCACCAGCAGCACGTCTAATGAAATCTGTAACAAGCGGAAGTGTCATAAGGCCCTCCGGCTATTTTTTGACAAAGTTCCCCCAAAGCACAGCTACGGGATGCTCTTCTGCTCCTGTCGAGACGTAGCCTGTACAGAAAGGAGGCGGCAGACTATTGTTCCTGTGTGTTCATATGAGGACAGGGAGAAACCAAACTGCCTGAATTTACAAGAATCCTGCAAGAAGAATTACATCTGCAGGTAAGATAGCACATGGCAGGGGAGTGATTAATGAGGTACCAGAGAGAACTTTTTGGTACTGCTGAATTTGCCAGGACTAAGGGTCAGAATATCCACTAGGGAAAAGGATGAGTCAGGGGAAAAAAGCAAATGCCTCTGACATCCTTCACAGTATAACAAAAGCCCGCATCTGATTACAGTGCGCGCCTTCTCCAAAACTGTTCACACCTACTCCCTCGCATTACGGAGGAATCTTTAAACCCCCGGTTTAATTTTTACAGATTTCTGTTGGAAAAATTTTCATTAGGTGCCTCTATGAAATGATGTCTCAGAATGATTTTTATGTCCCATTAATGACCAGGTAAAAATAGAATTGTTCATTATAATGGGATTAATTTTCATTGTAATCTTACATGTGAGCTCTAACATCTGTGAATAGAAGCCACATGTCGGACTTTATAAATGGTCACAATACACAGACTACTCATGTTTTTTTTTTCTTCATTGGAAAAAAAGCAGTCCACATTTATAGACTAGATCTCACTATCTTTGTAGAGCTGTTTTAGCCTTGCAATTGTTTTATCTCCCCTCCCCTGACAGGAGTGCTGGGCTGATACAACAGGAGGGTCATTGATTCACTGACCTAATCCCCAGCCTCTTTCCTCTGTGTGTTCAGCCCGGAGAGGCAGCACAGAGCGCTGCTTCACAGGACAAACTGGGTCCTTTCGCCTTCGTTGAGTTCCCTGCAGGTTGTCACACAACACTTATTCAGTGGCGTACGGGACCTCCTCTGCCCTTAGGAAATGCTTTATTCCTACTTAGCATTGTGTATGTTTATATTAGAACGTTGTGCTAATGTCATATTTATGAAGTTCTTATCTTGCTCATTTCTAATGTGTAAATTCCTTGTAGGTTATGCAATTCTGTGAATTAGCAAGCAAGGAAATAAACACTATTGTAAAATGTCAAGGACACTGAAGATATGATATAAATCTTAATAAGTGCTTACATATGCCTGGTAAAATATTTACTTTGAAGTTTGTTTATGAGATCTCCACTGCTGATTTTGAGCGTTTAGCCATAGCCCCTCAGATGTGCCCAGGTGTTGTTCAGAGGTGAGGAGGCAAGCAGCGCCCTACCCTCGATGGCGCAGGGGAGATCTGGAGCCGGTTCCTTGCTGACCCAAATCAGAACAGATTTAAATGAGAGCAGGGTTCTCACTTCAGTCCAGTGGGTTGCATTCAGCACCTTCATAGCTGATGCTACAGCAGTTTATGAAAGCTGGATACATGTAGTCTGAGAACTACCTGTTTTCCATTTCCATATTGCGCCATTAGTCTTTTTGCTTGTATATATTGTCTTCCCTATATGCAAGCCCTCTTAATTAGTAGAGTTACAGTATCTTTACTGTGTTTTCTGCCAAACTTCCAGTGTGTGACAGTGCCAATGAAATGGGAGAGAGGAATTTATAGGGAGACTTCTTCCTATTATTCAGGCTGTAGTGTTCAGGAATTACTTAGTTAAATTAATGCCATTACTCCTCTCATGACTGTGTTTTCCTTTGGTCAGCTTTGATCTAATGTTGTCTCAGCAGCTAAGTTTTTAATGGCATTTTGTTTAATTTGACTTCACGAGTCTGGTGCTGTGTTTTCTCCATTGCAATGCTGCAGAGGAAAGCTTGGTACAATCTCTGCTCCCGTTGCCCTAAGTTGCAGCCAGCACTGGGGTGAAAATGGATTTCTTTATGGATTCTTGCTGTGGATTCTTTTGCTTTAAAATGCCAAAATTAAAAAGTTTGGACTCTTCCAAGGCTCAGTGAGACCTGGCTGTGAGGATGAGGGGCAGCACTGGTACAAGGGAATGGGTGGGTGAATGCCTGCAGGCTCTGGGGCAGAGTTAGTGAGTGCAGCACTTGGGTCCTATGCCTGGAGGTAAAGCAAGCTTGATGTGTTGCTGAGAGTCATCTCACGTAGGTGTTAATACCTCCTGAGCTCTCTAAACTGCTAATGTATTTAATACATTCCCTCTCTACTGTCATGGAGAGGAGGTATCAGCAGCTGAGCTATTCCAGCCTATCCATAATATGGTAAAAGACATTTTGTCTCTGTGACTTGTTGTGCACTTAGAGGGAGTTGGTGTGATTTGTTCCCCTTGTCCCACAGGAAAACAGGGACTTGGGCAGGGGAGAAGATCTCCTCTCTGATATTGGAAGTATTTGCACTGATATATATCAGTCTACATAGTAATTCCAGATATGTTTAGAATAATTAAAAGCAGTAGTAGGCATATAATTCTAACTCTGATAATTTCTATTTCATTTTGAAATCAGAAAGAGTATCTAAATGGGAGAATAATTTGAGAATATGTTCTGCCTACTGCGAAACAGAGTCATTTAGAAACTATTATTTGCATGCCTATTACATCTATTAAAGCTTCTTCATAATGCTAGTTAAGACAAGTGGGACAAGTTCTAAAGGGTTTCTGAAAGTACACTCGCAAATGGTTTACAAGTGCTGCTTACTCAGAAATGCAAGATTTGAATCTGCCCGTATTCTGTATAAAATATCAACTGGGCCTGTGCAAACAAGTGTTTAAACATGCAATTTTGGATGCTCTTTAAAAGCTTTGTCCTGGATGCGTGTATCACTGAATCTGTTTTTGAAACAGAGTTAAGAGCAGGGACGCGATTTGGCCGAACTGCAGGTACCACTAACTGAGATGGCAGCATGCTTTGCCTACTTTTTTTTCTTTTTTATTCACTAATCTATCTGGTATATAACATAAACTCTTGATTGAGGAAAAAAGAGACCAGAGATGTCAGGAAATGCAAATAAGTTCTGATTTATGTAAACAGTCCTAATTTTTCAACTTCATCAGAATGCTGAATGGTTCACTTTCATTATCATTTTTCTGCTGCCTCTGCTTGTATCCCAGTCCATATCCAGCTTTGAAACCGATTGGAGTCTCTCAGAAAGCCTGTCAATGCTCACTGCAAAGAAAAGCAAAAAAACAAAGAGCAAAAAGAAGCCATTAGAGTTCCTTTTTATTATGAACATAAACAAAACTTCTAAGGAAAGTCAATATACTGTCAAAAACTTTCACCAATGATGTTGTCCTGGAATAGCGCAAACCTCTGAGGAACCTCCTCT